GGCATTAAATGAGGAATTGTTATATAGTTGCTGTGGAAAAGAGAATGAAGGTGCCTGAAGAAATTAAAAATAGAACTAATGTAGAATCCAGCAATCCCATTACTGGAGATATATACAAAGGAAAAGAAATCAGTATGTCAAAGAGATATCTGCTCTTCCATGTTTATTGCAGCACCATCCACAATAGCCAAGGTATAGACTCAACCTAAAAGCCCATCTACAGATGATTGAAGAAAACTGTATAGATAGATGGATGGATGGATGGATGGATGGATGGATAGATAGATAGATAGATAGATAGATAGATAGATAGATAGATAGATACAAACAATGGAATACCATTCAGCCATAAAACAGAATGAAATCCTGTCATTTTCAGCAAAATGGATAAAGCTGGAGAACATGTCATGTGAAATAAGGCAGATGCAGAAAGACAAACACTGCATAATATTGTACGTGGAATCTAAAGAAGCTTGTTTCACAGAAGTAGAGCGTAGAATAGTGGTTACCAGAGGCTGGGAAGAAGTTGGTTGACAAGTACGAGGTTACATTTAGACAGGGAGAATAACTTCTGGTGTTTCTGTTATACAGCAGGGTGACTATAGCAAATAACAATGCAGTGTATAGTCGAAGATATAGTTGAAGATACTAGAAGATTTTGAATGTTATCACAACAAAGCGATGATAAATGTTTAAAGCGATAGAAGGTAATTACCCTGATTTGAACATTATAAAATGTATACAAGCATTGAGACATCACATAAGTATGTACAATTACCATATGTTGATTATGAATTTAAATTTAAATTTTACAATAAAAAATAAATTAATCAACCTAATGTTTGACACTCTCCAACAACTAATTATTCCATAGTTCTCCAATACTAATTATGTTATTTTCTGGCCATAAACCCATCCAGACCTGCTATTTGCACATGCCGAGTATTTGCACTCACTTGTCTTTGATATGAAATGTTGTTTCCATTACTCTCTCTCAGTCTATGTCCTTCTTTGTCTTCCACACTCAGTACACAGCTCTTCTTCTCTAAAAAATCTTCCACACTTGACCCTACCTGGCCCTCCAAACCAGTCTCCTTGATGATCTCGTATACCTCCTTTAATACATTATGTTCATGGCATCAATTTATATTTATTGAAAAATGTAAAAATATATATGTATTTCAGACAATCAGCTTTGTGCATTCTGTCTCCATAATTCATAAATTATCTTAAAGCAGAGTATCATATTTCACAAAGTAACAGGGCTATAATACATCTAAAAGATTGACTATTTGTTTTACTAGTGAGGTAACAAGACTAAAGCTTTTAAGTGACTTATCAGAGTTTACATGTCTAATTAGGAGCAAAAGTGGGACCAGAACTCCCAATGTTCTACTGGTATTTCTGGAACAAGCCACTTTTACTTTTCTAATTTATTCTGTCTTCCAGCATGTAGGAAATACCCTGGTATAAATCAGGTAGCCTCAAATGAAGCATGAAGAAGCATCAGCAGTAGATAGTGCCCAAAGGAGAGAACATTGAGATTATCAGGCTAGGGCAAAGAGCACCAGATCTCCCGTGAGTTGATCCCATGGGGTGAAAAGCAAGCTAGATCATAGGCAAGTGAGTGGGCTTAGAGACAAGGCTCCAATCATAGCAGAGTGGCTGAAGTGCGATCAAGAAATCTGAAGCAGCTGCAGCTTAACCACAGTGACTGAGCATGCGCATTAAGGTTGTGAGGGAAGAGGAAGAAAGATGGCTGCTTAGGGAACACACAGGTTACCAGACATGAAACAGCAAGGTTAATTTCCAGATCCCACCCACTAACCCAGTCAACAGACTATATCACTTATTTTATCTCATCAGTCTTGAGCAAGGTAGGCTCAATCTAGATAAAATAAGCCTAAAGCTTGAATATATTCAGTTAAGGGAACTATGTAAAACAAAGTTAATACTAAGCCCTCCCCAGAGTTTGCACTTACTGTGTAAGATGATACAGAGATGGATAGATAAATGTTGAGCTTGTTGACTTGTTGACACTGCCCTCCTCTTCTTCACATTACCAACTTTGCAGAGGGTCACTAAATTCTGTTATCTCCCTGTTATATCCCTCAACTGGATATAGGGCAACACGAAAATCCACATGGGATTTGGCTTACAATGTAATGGTTGATTTCCTGCTAAAATGACAGTAGCTTCTGGTCAGTTTTCATCTAGGGTAAAATTGTTTAGATTTTATACAAAATATTTTAAGAAATATCTGTGCCTACTAACTGCTCTGTCCTAGTTGCACATTTTGCTAGGTATCACTCCCTAAAAGTTATTTCATTTCAGAATTGTTTAATGCTAAATCAAGCAGCTAGTATTTTTGGTGTGACACAGAGGTGATGAGTTCCTCAAGGGTCTTGCCTGACTGACAGCTGTCAACTAGAAATGGATGCATAGAATGAACAATTTGGCAGCATGCATTTTAGCCTTTAGATTGCACTTAATATTTTTAATGTATGGTTAGTTTACTATTATCCGAATATCTCTACATGATGAAGGTCTTATTGAGGTTTTACCAGCCTCTCGCACTGGGACTTTCCCAGGTCTACAATCAAAAAAACACATCATAAAATGGCTTTTTCTACTGTTGAAAAATGGTGATTGTGAAAAGGTTCAGAAACATGGACAGAAGCCCTCAAGTGCCATTACCCAGTTTTAAAACATGATACTGAAAAAAAAAAAAAAAAAAAAAAAAAAAAGTCATGGTTTATTTCCGTCATGGTAGGATGGAAAAGCCACAAGATTATTGTGGATCTGTACAGTGCAGGCAGGTTAACAATGCTTGTTTGGTTTGACTCACTAGGTTGGTTTGAGAAGTAATTTTCAAATAGAAGTTTTTGTTATATTCAAAGAGCCTCAATAAGGTTTTAAGAAGAGATTCAAAGATAAGAAAGGGTATCAGCCTCTATTAGCCTATGTCTAGGGCAGAAACCCCTGACATGCTCAGCCAAGTGGAGGCATTGACATCACAGATTCTATTGGGCCCAGAGTGCAAGTTTATAATTGAACAATGTAGGCAGGAAGAGAAGGCTAAGAACATAAACTATCTATTTGTTTTTAAAACTCTTTAATATGTGTCTTCAAACTGCAAAACAAGAGAATGAGAAAACACACTTTAATTCAAATCTTAAGAAGGATTCTATTTCAGTAATCTGGTTAAATAATAATAATAATAATAATACCTAAAGATTACTTAGGGGAGTCTTTTGCTACAATGCAGTGGTTCTCAACCAGGAGTGATCTTGTCCTTCAGGAACATTTGCCAACTGCTGGAGACACCTTTAATTGTTGCAACTGGAGAGTGCTACAGGCATCCAGTGGGTGGAAGCCAGGAAGGTTATTAAACATTCTACAATGTAAGGGACAGCCTCTCACAATAAGGAATTCTCCAACCCATAGTACAAACAATACCTACCTCAATGTATGGCCAAGGTATGCTATATTCACTTTTGGGTTTTGCCACCAAAATACTTCTATAAAACTAATATGCCAGATTCACTGCCTTTGCCAAAAATAAGAGAGAAGTGACACCCTGAGAAAACAAACAATGAAAATTATTCATTCAGATAAACATCTATTTTAGTAAAACCTAATAGATTCTTAATAAAATGAGAGATGATTTGAAATTTTGCCCTGATAATTTGAGAAGATTTAAAATACATTGTTAACGAGTACTTCCTGGCTAGTGGCCCACTAATTGTATGTATCTGTGATAATGCGCTCAGGCAAAATTTTCAAAGTTTGCACAATAACATCAGAATGATTTTGAAGACCTCTGTATCAACAGCTTACTTTTTATTGACACTTCCCAAAGCAAGTTCTTCAGTTTTACTATTAAGAAGCTTCTTATGGGTCCTCCTTCTGATACTGCCCTTGACATATTCCACAGCATCCTTCCAAAAAACTACTATTTCTAAATAAATTTTTAAAAAATCTATGAACCACCCACATAATAATCTTAAAATATTTCAAGTATTATTAAAAATAGTGAACATTTTATGGGACTAAATTCAGTTAACCATAAGCATGTCCATCGAAAGAACAGTGTCTTCACTAAATAAATCTACTGCTAAATGAATAAGGACTTGTGAAGATTTCTATAATTCTTCTTTCATGGAATTAATTATATTTATGGGGAGAGGAAGCAGTGTTAGTATAACCTTTTAGCCCTTATTTAGAAATAGTCTTATTATATTGAAGTCAATGATGTACAGATATGTAATCCAAGCAGATTCTACTTGTATATCTACAAGTAGGGAGCATTAACCTCAAAAATAAATTCCTCATGTCAAAGAGCTACTACTCATTTGTTCCAGAAATTCATCAGCAAGTTGCAAAATAAGAATGAACCAGTCTGGTTAAAAGAAAATGCAGTCTACAGAAATGTTCATTGCATTTTCATACTTTTTCCCCAACTGGTCAAATAATAAAAAATCACCACATGAATGACTGACGCTTAATAATCACCTGTAATGCAGTAGGACCTACACCCCTCACTATGCCCTGTGCTGGCCATCAGAGCTACCTTGTTGCATACATATTTTGCTCCAGAAAAGCAAGGCTCAGCCAAGAGTCAGCACCTGCATAACTCTAAAGTCACAGGGGACCTATAATTTAAACCCAGGCCGGCTTTGCTCCAGGACATCCAGTGACATGTCATGGTCTCCATTGTAGCAAAATTCACAAGTTCAAAAGGATTTTAAGTTGTTTTCTTCTTTTGTATTCTTCTTTCAACAATATCCTATTGTTCGAATTCCCAAACTCAAACAGTTTATAAACGATTGCTGTAGTTACACTTTAATTCCTACCCCATAGTTAATTCCACAAAGGCATTTTGCCCTGTGTAATTCCATTCTTTTCCTAGTCCTATGTCACAAGGGGAAAAAATATGTTTTTGCTTATGAGATATCTCTAGCTCAATTTCTTTCTGGTAGTGTATCTTTGATCAGTTCAGACATTTCTCAGAGTTTGTATACACCCTCGTTTGTAGATATCCTGTGTGTTCTCTGAAACTTTATTGCTGCTCAGCTTTGTGTGTGTGTGTGTGTGTGTGTGTGTGCATGCACACACGTGCGTATGTGTAAAGAAGGAGATTAGGACATTTAGAGAAGGAGGGCGGGGAGGAGAGATCCTGAGAATAGAAAGGAGGAAAGAAAAAAAGAGGGAATGGAAAGAGACAGAGAAAGGAAATGGGAGTGGAAGGAGGGAGGACTGCTTTGTAGCTGCTAAGATTGCAGACAGAAATAGCACACAACCACCGTGAGCTGTATGCGATTCAGAAACCAAGACCAAATTTTGTTCACTTTCATTAATCAGTTGCTCAGAGAGAAGGAAATGACATCTGGTCCTGTCTTCTTCTACATCTTAATTATTGGAAAATATTGTAAGTATGCTCAGTATCTAATTTTGTATACCTTAGTATTTTGTGGAATAACCGCAAGCACAAATGTTTATTCCTTATATTTATGCTTTTAAGATAAAATGCATTTACTGATAAAATTGTAATCTCACTTCAGAATTGTTCTTCTTAGTAAATGTCTGGTATTTGTATTAAAAACTGTAATATCTTATCATAGTCAATAGTGAAGCAAGACTGATGTGCCATGTAAACCTAGGCTTCATAATAACCAATTCATATAATTGATATTATAAGCAACATTATAATGTTTAAAGAGTAGTGATTCTTAAACTGTATTCAAGGAATATGTTCATTGAAAAATCCTAGGAAAGTCCTCACATTTGTGCCAGTTTCTGTGTAGTTGTAATGCTCTGTCGCCCTTATCCTTTGTGATTTGCTATCATAGGTGTGCTTCTGGGCAGGGAGATGCATTCTTAAAACTCTTTTTATTTAGCAAGATTTATCACTGTTCCTTGAAAGAAAAACAAGGGAAAGCACAAAGCAATGAAAAACATAGGCACAAAAGAAGCTTCAAGTGGGCATGTTATTTTTACTATAATGACAAATTTTGTTTTCTCTACGTGTGCTATGGTTTATTTTTCAGAAAATCTTTTTTACATTCAAGGGAAACAGCTGTTGTGTGTTAAGCTCCATTTGATTTATAGTATGTAGATAGAAATAAAATATTTTTGTTTCTTAGATAATAAATATGAAAAAGTCAAAGCCAAACCAAGAACAAAACTTTATGGATATCTTTAGTCCTTTATGATTCCGGGAATGTGGGCTTTCACTAATTTAGAAGTTAACAAGCCTTTTTATAGTTCTGTCTCTTAAAAGTTTGCATAAGTTTTGTTAACTCTGAGCTCTTCTATTAAGGAATGTCTCAGGGTAACTTTCAATCCTGACTCTCCCAATTGCAGTGTGTCAAAGTGATTGTATTTTCCTTTTTCTCCTTCTTTCCTCCTTCCCTCTACTCCATCTCATCTAGAGTTAAAATTAAAGGATGGCATCAAAACCACAGAAACTATTCAGAATCCCAGGGAAATATTCTAGTCCTAGCTTTGTCCATCTCTAATCTTGATTACTGACATTCCTATTTTTTAACTGAAGGGAAAACAATAAATTGCAAACCACCACCGAAAATGTAATGTTTCTAATTATAATTCCATGTTTAAACTACCAGAGCTTTTGACATTTATGGCCAACAGCTTCAAAAAATAATACCATATTTTACCTTCCCTATTCCATTTCAATGAAATGAATAGATTAAATAAGCCAGAGGAATATTTCTAGAATAGTCATTCCAGTATAAAGAATTTAAGGGTATATAAAAGGTGTTTAGGGCAGGTTGAGAAGCAACTTTGACCACTGTGTTACCACTCATTTCAGGTTAGGAAAAAATTCCATGTTTACATGTACCTTTTTGTTAATAATTATTCATGAGCAGGAAATAATAATGATGGTGGTCATGATGATGCCAAAACCCTCTGTCTCTTTAAATTTAACTTCCCTTTTGATTCAAAAGAAAATTTGGGAATGTAGTGTAAGTTGAGAGCTCCAAGTTCTCATCCTTCCACGCCTTCCCCAGGAAATGAGGGCATAAACATTTGCAGCAAAGTTTGGCAAGCCAATTCCTAGCTACATGGTGTTAATTGCATGTTAGGGTGGGGGAACACTTGTCAGGGACCCCCTGAAATAGCACCCACAGCCAGGGTTCACCTTGAGTTTAGCCCCTCACCCAGGCTTCACGTAAGTGAGAATTTCCTGGGCACACAGCAACGGAAATCAACAACCACGCATAAGGACAAATTCTTAAACCTCTGTAAATGCCCCATGGTGGTTGTTTCTCTGTGTGTTTGTTTTGTTTTATTTTGTTTTTATATCCACTTTCCTGTTACAGGAAAGGCGATGTGATATCATGGAAGACACCTAACCTAAGATGCTTAGCTGCACTACCATGTACCAGTTCTATGGTTTTCAGCAGATTTACCTCTTCTGAGCATGTGAAATGGCAATCAAATCCTTTACCCTGTCTACCTCTCAGACCTCCTGTGTTCCGTTCTTTGTTACAAAAATTACCTCCTGAATCTTCACAACAACTCTATTATGTGGATACAATTAAGCACATGAGGTAGGACATTCAATGCCTTGTCACAAGACTCGAGCTAATAAATGCCAAGATTGGAATGCTTTCAAAGCCCGTGCTCTCTCCCCTAGACCATGATAATTCTCAGTAGCCATAATGTGTATAAATGGGCTTTGAAAACTCTGAAGCCCGTTACAGACGTAAGCAACTATTAGTCATCCTTTCAACCAAAAATACCTATGCATGCCAGAGCAGTGACCATGCTTTATTCACCTATCTTATTAAAGTAAGCATGGTCCCTGCTCTGAAGGGATAGAATGGAGAAGACCGCAAGTTGATCTAAAATTCAATTCAATAAGACAAGTGCAAAAATTGAGGTCCACACAAACAGAGGTGACATTAAGACATAAAAGATTTCCTTTTAGCCTTAAGAATTTTTCATTCTTTAAAAATCCTTCTGTCCATAGTCTAATTAATTGTATTGTGCCAATGTTAATTTTTTAGTTTTGTAATATACTAAAATTATGTAAGATTAAGGAAAGCTGGGTGAAAGCTGTATAGGATCTCTCTATACTATTTTTTCAACTTCTTGTAAGTATATAATTATTTCAAAATTTGTAATTAAAAAGCAATCCCCAGGACAACTTGTATCTTAAGTTCTTATCAGACAATGCTTTATTATTTCTTAAATGATTTCACTAAGCAAAACAATTCTTTTACTTAATGTTTTAGATAGGCAGGGAACAAGTGAAGATACAAGAAATAGAAGGAGTTCAAACATAAGCTTGATCCACTTTAGTATTTTGCCAAGGACTGGCCCAGCTTAGTAAGGTCCTCACTTTCAGACTCCTAGAGACACTTACCAGGCTACCTGGCCTTTGCCAGTACTCTCATAACTTGTAACAGTTTTCTTCTGTAACTATGAAGAAGAGAAAAGGAAGAGACAATTCCAGAACAGACCGTTAGCTTGGTTAGTACATGGAAAAGGAGAATGTGGGCATATTTATCCAATTCCAAAAGATGGGAGAATAAACACACCAATATGCAAACCACGGAGGTATACTGTGTTCTACCTTATACTTTGGGGGCGGTTGGGTTTTTTTAATTTGTATAAATGTATGAGGCATGAGTGCAATTTTGTTACATGCCTAGATTGCATAGTGGTCAAGTCAGGACTTATCCCTCACCCGAGTAACATGCATGGTACCAATTAAATAACTTCTCACCACCTTATATTGTGGGGGCTGCTGGCAATTTTGTATTGTTTTTACTATGTATTTTGAATCATATTTTTAAGTTTCAAATGGAAGGAAAATTAATGAATCTGTGCAAATGCACCCTGATCTACATAAAGGGAAATTATTATGTTTGTGAACTAAATAGTCTTTCAAGCACAGTTTCACACATTAGTACAAACTTGTTAAACTAAAATGCCTGGAGTTGAGTATTCTAGTTAGATTTAACTTTTTGTCTGAAAAACTGTAAGCATTTAGACCATTTGATTTCAATCCTTATGTTTATGGGTGTAGTTGTTTTTCTATTTCCCATTTATTGAGAGGTCTCCATAGATGAGGAACAATGTAAGTGCTTTACAAACATGATCTTATTTTATTCCTATAATAACCCTATGAGATATTCTCGCTTTACAAAATAGGAAACAGAGAATAAGAAATATCTGGTAGCATTCCTGGCACCACTTCCTAGTAATGATGCAAAGGAGATTTGAATCCAAGTCTATCTCCTTAAAAAGCCTATGCTGTTAAACATGATTTGATTCTAACACTTTCTTAAATTATAATATAGAATTTAAAGTGACCTTAACAGACCCCTGACCTAGCTCACTGGCCTTCAAGCAAGTTAGATCTTTCTCTATTTTAGATATTAATCCATAAGGAAATATTGACCAGTCCAAGGTCTCAAAGCTGGTAAATCCAGGGCTTCCACCACCTACAGTGAGGGCCTCCCCATCCAAGGCAAATTCAACAAATCCATGCTAGGAGTTTTTATATCTCCTCTTATGAGCTGGTGCTATCTGCTTTGTATACATTCCTCAGTGTACACCAACAACTGATGAATTAGTATATGTAAATAATTTGACTATATAGAAAGCACTTTTGTTTGCAGCACATGACACTTAGCTATACATATAGCAAGTGCCCATAAATATTGACTTAATTCCTATGTTAGCTTACCTCTCCCTCCTCCTGGATATTTTATTAGCCCCACAACCCCAATAGCTCTATTTCCTGCCTATGTGTAGTGATCCAGTACTCTCTCATCTTTTTAAATTCTACAGCTTCATCTATTTCTGTGATCAAAACAACAAGGACCCACCACTAAACCAAAAGCTCTTTCCTTCTTTGGAGATAAGCAGGGGCAAGTTGTGAATATTTCAAATTTAGGTTTTGTTCTCTATCACAACAAAAATAAATATCAAGTGGAAAAAAGGACAGTGTAAAGTGAGATATCATGTTGTTCATGTTAGAACTTGGTATTTTCCTACTAAATAACTGTATTTTATAGCAGCCTGGGTATTATTAGATTTGTTAAATAGATTCATTTTATAATTATTTCAGTACTACCTAAATTAACTGGGTCTCCTGATTTCTTCAATCTTTTATGATAATGAATATGCCTTTTGGAAATCATCAATGTTTTCAAAAAAATTCTGAGAGTTAATCTTTGGGAATGGTACTCTTGGGACTTTTCACCAGCTGGTCTAGGCCACCTGGAGCCCTTGCTTCTGGCCATTGTGCCAACAACTCTTTCCACCTCTCTCTCACCATCATTCTTCCTCGACTCCTCTCCCAGATTCCTCCAGGAACTCAAGTTCTCATTGAGTTCCAGTGCAGATGGACACAGCTCTCTCTCTCTCTCTCCTTAGCTCCTGTTTCCAAAT